TCTTATCAGTGGCAAAATTTTTTGTGATCACTAGTATCATTATCCATCAAATTTAAACGTTTGTTGAAAAATAACATCTATTAATTAAAAAAATTTCATTTATTTAAAAAATTGGAAATGTTTTATAAATATTTCTAAGCCCTATATATTTAATTTAAGTTTTTATATAATACAGAAAATTTATTATAAAAGATTAAAAATATTATAAATTAAAAATGTCTTTAAATTATTTCTTTTTATATTTTTTTATAATAAATTTTAGGTTATATAATAGTCATTTTTTTATTTTTGATAAGATCATTTCAAACTAATTTGACAAGAATATAATTATTAGAAGTAAAAAATGAATTTCATAATCATGTTTAGCTAATAAGATGTAGTAAAAATTTGCTAGAAATTAATTTTTTTGATGCAATCATAAATATTTTGTCACAAGTTAAGTAGTGTTGATAATTTACAATGTAGGAAAAATGTACTAAACATGCATATCATTTGCTTTTGACACAATAATTAAATAAGTTTGTTAGATTATCAAAATGATAAGAAGTCTACAAACATTTTTTACATTGCTAATAGTGAAGTGAACTTGAATATTAGACAAAATTCAAAACAATTTTTTGTAGAGAGATTATATTTTTGGCTATAATTTATAATTCTTGAGAATATAAGCTTGTATAGGGCAAATAATTTCATATTCTTGGTAGAATTTAGATATAAAGAAAATTGTACATCCGGATTTGATGATATAGCGGATTGTGTAGCTATATCATATTTGCTTGTCTCCAAATAATACTTTGGTGCAATTCAATCTCATTAAATGGAATTTGACTTTGTTCTTAATATGTATAACTTGTAAAATTTCTACCATATAGTCCAATTGCATGTTTTTGATTTCAAAATCTCTTATTGATCTCCTTACTTTCATCACATCTCACAATACAACATAGACTTTTTTATAACATAAACAAATCATAGACAGAAAAAATACTATATCCATGCTTATCTATTCATGAATTCATCAGTTAATGTATCCTATGTTGAGCAGAATGGTCGTCTTCTAATTCAAACACTGGCTGAATTTTATAACATGACTACTCTTCAGGCCTATCAAGACCATAGCGTAGTTTTAACTTTGGAGTGCAATATTGATAGAATTTAGTGATAAGCTTCGACAACAGCGTGTCTGACGCCAAGTTTTGACGTAAGATCAGTGGGAGAGATGTAGAGGCAAAAGAGGCGAGAGATCATTCCAAAGTTGTTAAGCACTACATGACTGAATGGATATACACTAAGTAATTAATGAAAAATTTCACATATGATTACTTAAATGACAGATATCGATTTGATCACTGACATCATTTGGCCATCCGAAGAAGATAAAAATTCTTACTTAGAGTAGAATCTTGCAATATGTAAAGTTAAGATGACATATTCGACATATGATTTGTTGTACATAGCTTTAAGAAACAGCGAGAGAAAATCTAAAATTATAACTAGACTTAGTACTCGGTTGTGATTTTTCTCGCATGTTAAAATCACATGATACTCCACAGCTCATCACTATGTGCTAATTGTCAGAATCGTACGATACAAATGACTCATTCCATTATGCAATTACTGATTTTCCACTTATTTTTAAAAAAAAATCAAAGGCATGATAAACAAAAGTTTGGAATAAAAAGATCAAGTGAAACCCTAAAAATAACAAAATCATCAGTGACCATTAAACTTAGTGTCCATTGCTACTTAAGTATCTCATTTCGGTTCTATTGCTACTGAAATTGAAATAAAAAACTAATTATCTACTTACTCTCAACTACTGCCAATACTTCACAACTCGCGAAAAACGGAGAACCCACGTTCCGCTCCCCTTGACATTCGAGTAACCTTCCTTGCATATCCAAGGAGATCATTCCCGGTGGCTCAAATGACCACAAAGCTTTCGCCTGTCAATCCCGTTTGTCCAGGTAAGACTAAACCCTTGTAGTGAGATCTATTCTAGTGGCTGGAAATCAAACCACAGAAGGATGCTTGCAACATCGCCCAACTGGTAGAGCCCTGGATTTTGGGAAGAGAAGTAAGCATCAGAAACTCTGAACATGGGCAGTTTGGAATCTCATTCACATGCTTCTGGACCCAGAGTACCATCAAACCCCGCTCTCACAGACAAGAACAGAAGAGACTTTCAACGCGCTTCGAAACGGCGGTGGCCTAGTCCAGTTGTTGTCTGTCGGCTGCATCATGTGGTGATTCAACCACAAGAGGTCTGGAGCGCCAAACCCATCATGGGAAGAAAATGGGATGGAAAGCAAGGCCCAGTGGAATGACGAAGACACATCCGAGGAGAAAGCTACAAGTGGAAGTAATAAGCGACGACAGCTAGAATTCGAGACGATATAACAGAGGAAAATTCGCAGTCTAAGGTTAATGACTCATCCTTTCAGGACAGATCTGAGTTTAGGGATGGTCAGGAAGAGTCGGGGAGAATGAGATTTTCCTCGAGAGTCCGCGAGTCTGTCTGTGAAAATTGTCTGGTAAAACCCTCAGCTTTACCGCCGGTGAATCCCAGAACCGACCGCCGTGTTCTGGTGGCTAGAGTAGAAACGACCACAAAGCTTAGGCTTCATCAGCACGTTCACTTATCCATGTCATCCGAGCAAATATCCACGTGATTCTTGGGGTCTTTCGAAGAGATCTGTTCTGGTGGCTCACATCAAAACGACCACAAACGTGACGCCCCGTCCGCGCCCATGATTCTCCATGTCAACATCGTCCAGTAGATCCTGCCGTTGGGGGAGCCACGGTAGGCTGAAGTGTACGGTGGAGAACATGGAGTTTACTATCTGACAAGCGGGTGGCGAAGCAAAGGGAAAGATTACCTGCCCGAGTACATTTTTCGGTACTGTATATCTACTTCTACAAAGATTCATTCGTCGCAATCAAATTTGCCTCAGGACCCCTGAGTCAGGAATCCCTGATTTTTATTGAGCAGGTTGGATGCTCTAGGCAACTTCTAAAGATCTCCCTGGTCTGTCCTGAGGCTGGTGGTTCAGAAGAAAAGGACCACAAACAATCGCCGAGTCAGTACCCACGAGTTTCCATGTCAGCTTTACTGAGCCACGTAAGAGTGCTGCATTTTATTGCCACCGTCCCGAAGGGTAGCGGATCTTGTACTCATCCATGTGAGAGAGGGACGCTTACAAGGAATCTATTCTCGTGGCTCATAGACCCCGACATGCCAACCAGTTGAATCTCCATGTGGACAACCCGATCGAACGCCCTCGGCTTAATCTTCTCATGATTGGGAATCTCAATTTTCCTGACTTTTTTTTGGCCCCTTGAAAAACGTGGGGGAAGGTGGAGGTTTTGAGAGCCAAAACTAGGGTATATAATGTATATGCAAGTTTTTGGAAATTAGCCAGGTTTTGTTCCTTTTGGAATATTTTCTAAAATAATACAATGTTGATAATATCGTTGAGAAAGGGGGAATTAAGCTTTTCCTTGGAGTCGGCATCTTCATTATATGCATGAGCCACTTACAAAAATTCATAAAATGTAAAAGTTTGTTCTCCTCAAGGGAACTAGTTATCTATCGCATTAGACATGCTACTCGGAGTCAATTTTGAATGTAAGACTTTGAGAGTTTTCATTTGTAAAATGTTCAAAGTGAGTGCGTGGTTTACGTGAATATAACAGTGGAACATGTTGCTACCTAGACTTTGAGCAATCTCATTGAAACATACTCACAAGGTAAACTCCGCTTGTACAAAGACTTGTGTGGAGTCCACATATTTGAAATATCTTCCTCTCGTATTGAATATGTAAAAATCATCTTATTTTATATTAAACCTTTGCAGGAATTCATTAAAAAAATGGATACTACTTTAAAGTGAAGTGAATAAATTATTGTTTTTGGAAGAAGGCGAGAAGGAAAAATAGGAAAGAGATGGGAAGGGAAGAGTATAAAAAAGAGAAAAGATACAATAATGTTTGATTAAGAGAACTTCCAATTATTCGATAAATTGAGGCAGATGAAAATATTAATGTATTTGATTTATTATCTACAATAGATATCTTACATCACACCAAACAACAGATTTGATCAAGAACTTGTTGAAAGTATTCTTTCTCAGGTTAAAATGTGTGACACATGTTTAGATAGGAAAAACCAAAAAATAATTTTACTTTATAACAGTATGTATTCAGTACTCGAAGGTTCTTTTCGATAGTTGGTGTTTCAAAGCATTTTTCTCACATGATTATATTCCTAATCATCAAATTTTCTTAGTTCGAATCCACTTCCGCAAGAATTCCGAAAATTGTAAGATCTTCAACAGTAGGTGTAGAATATTAATGTTAATAACAATAAATTCTAATCTTGTTGACACTTCATTCTAGGTCAGACATGCAGCATTTTTGTTTTTGATGATTGTAGACATTTCTCAGTTCATGGTGTCTGGTTTTCTTTGAACCTGCTGTTCATTAATTGCGATGTATCTAGAACGTAACATTGGTTGAGGTGCATGAGATATACATGATACTATGGAGGTCCTGGAACTTAGTCTACCCTTCATTTTGTTCCCTATTTGTCTTGATGGTCCTTTCCCATCGACGGGCCCTTCGTTGAGATACATAGTTTTGACTACATCATATTGGTTCAGATGTTTGCAACGCCATTTCAATATATATATATTGTCTCTCTTGAGTAGTGATATTTTTCATCTTTAAAGTGTATGATCAACTATCGACAATTTTCTTCATGACTGTAAGTTTCAATCGGTTTTTCACACTTCATAGACTTGTTAGTATACATTTTGATGTAGGTATAGACACTATCTCCTGAACGGAGTGTGTACAATGGCTTAATGCTTTGACACTTTTTTGGAAATAGTGCAATGATTGTGGAAAGCGTTCGACATCTCACTCAGGAACAATTATAAACTAATCAGATTAAGAGGAAATAGAATTAGACAAGCAAAGTCACAGAAAAAAATCTTTCAAAGACATCGGTCGATTTTATTCCCAAATATCCCAAGGTGTAGTGTAAGAAAAAGAAAAAAAGTCTGGGAACAACAGCAGGATTGGATATCCTCATTTACAGAACGTTAAATTGCGAATGGCACCTCCTTCGCTGATCTGCTGAAAGAAGCCTTCTACCAAGGACAGGATGCAAGGGGAAAGCAATGTGCTTTTGGCACATGATTCTCCCAAACTACAAGTAGTATCGCAAATAGTACTGCTAGGTTCATGTAGTCCTAAACTGGCGCTATGTACCACGACTTCTCATCTTCTCCTCGTAGGTTGTAACTATCCAATTAAATGTGACAATCGCAGAACTACACCGTGCAAGTTACCAATCTAAACAATCTTGGATAGTCGAGAGCTTTCAAAAATATGACTCATTCATCCTCTATCTCCACAACAAGCTTGTCCTGAGTCTCTACAATGCTGACCATTGGTGAAACCTCCGGCCTGTGACCTACTCTGCGGGGTCGCCCGCCGTATAACAAAGAGCTACTACTGAAAGCCGCGGCTGCTGTAAACCCCGAAGGGAACATCTAGGAACTACTGTAAAGATTATGAACAAAAATACGCTTTCCTCGTATTCACATTGGGTTTCTGGCCCCGATCAATCATCAAGCTGCTGCTGAAGTGGATGTGTCGGCGATATCCACAAATGGAAGGCACCAATGTGCGTAAGTAGACAATCGATTGTCCATGAATCGATTAGAGTCGATGAATAGACCAGAAGAACCGATGAAAAGACTCCGGTCACATTCTTCGTTTCAGAACTGGTACGGTACTTTCTTGGGGCCGCAGTGAGTTCCGATGCGCACAAGGATCTCCCTCCAAGTCGGTCTATATTCAATGGCAGAGGTGAACTCCCGGAACATCAGACGGCATCTTCGTTGTAAGAACCTTCCTCGTCAAGATACGAAACGCAAGATGACTCCTCCGTGAGGTCGCAAGAAACTGGTTTTTGACAAACCTCCTTCGTCGGCGATACTGAGTTGCTTCCCACTCCGGATCCGTACCCGAAAGATCGATCAGTCCGCTGGCTGCGGGATTCCAGTTGAAGGGTTTGGATTACCAATCCAGTCTGAGTGAGCACGTACATCAACACCAACAGAGACGTCAGCGGCGCAGCTAAAGTCGTCCACATCGTCGTCTTCGCTGCAGTAGTTCACATTTGGCTCTTACAAGTATGACAACTACCGTATCGATGAAACAAAGTGAATTAGTGAGGACCAAGAACTGGTGAAGATTCCCGATCGCGTTCCAGTTTCTCCGACGAGCTATAATCACTATGAAGATGTGTGTGTGCCTGACTACACATATAAAAAAATACTACTGTCTCCAGATGAATGAAGGTCTTGAAAACAGATCCGGCTTCGTAACTGCGCTAACATCTTACACAGCAACACAGATCCGAGACAACAAGTCTATCTGCTCCTCCACAACATCAGGTCTTAAGGTCCTCTTCAACAACCTCAAAGACACCTCGTCCACAGGTATGACACTTACTGGAGAGCTACTCCTCTTCTGAATCCTTCTTCCTTGAAGAGTTTTCCCTCGCTCGACACCCCACAATCGTTTAATTTCGGCACCGTGGAATCTACGAGAACCCCTTGCTCGCCCCACCATCTCTACGGCTGACTTCCTTCTGCCTTGACGGGATAAGTGCTCACCGGTGTGGCTCTCCTGGCTTGCACAGGTGCATCCTGAGTCTGCCGCTTCAGTGGTAGCGCTCGGATAACTCAGAGTCTCGCTGTTCTCCATTTCCTCACTGTCACCGTTGCAATCGTTCACGACTGCTGCCGTCGTGGAGGGGTTGCAGCGGGAACAAAGACGAGAAAGAGGAGACGGATGGGGACCTGATGTCTTGCAGTCTGTCTCCTGGCAGCAACGTCCGCACAAGACGGAACGAGCGTGTCGTGCAACCAAGAAATTCGCACTGTGAACTTTCGCGTCGCAGCTCCAGCACACGTTGGCATCGTCTGCAGCGCAATAAAGTGTTGCCCGATCTCCACAAAGTTCACACTTCTTTTCCATCTCAACTTCTATCTGCCTTGCTTGCAGGTAATAACTTCAATTCGATCCTCTATAATGCAGCCCGCGAAGCCCGGTGTACAAGTCCAAATGACGACCTCGACGACTATAAAAGCTCAAGCCAGGATTTCGCAACGCCGTTCTGGTAAATTGTTATCCCACGCCACACTCTTGTCGCAGCACAACGATCCAGGGATCTTGATGGAGGAAATGTCGTGAAACTCAGTTCTCGACGTCGTATAAGAATGACGCGCAAGACTGATGTTTATGAAACCAATGACTGACTTGTCAATTTCCCCAGGCGCATTCCTCCTACCCTACTGATGCAGGTAGACAAGGAAAACCTCATTCGTCTGTGCGAGTGGACCTTCCACCAGGAAAATGCCAATCAACAGCAGCCTGTGCACTGTGCAATGCCAAGCCGATTGCACCAGGAAAAACAATGAGCTCGGTCGAAGTGGAGGAAGGAGGAAGGAGGAAGATCACGCAGGCGATCGACGCAGCGTAAAGGTGCGGGAGATTTCTTGCAGGAGAGAAGACTTGGGGTGCGAGGGCGGAGCAGGAGAAGTGTTTGATGTTTGTGTCGTGAGACGGGGGTGGGGAGCGTCTCGGGTGCAGGAGTGAGTGAGTGAATGAGCCTTCGACAAGCGAGGCGCTGAATGCAAGAGGGCAGATTCTCCGACGGGCTTTTGAGCGAGCGAGCGGATCGAGCGTCTCTCCGCCCGACAAGGAAGGCGAGAGCGGGGCGAGAGAAGGCTGCCAAGGGCATGCCCCGGAGATGGCGGGTCAGACGACTGCCGAAGCGGGCAGAGCAGAACCGACCCGGGCCGGGCCTGGCCTGGCCGGGCAGGGCAGGGCAGGGCAGCCCAAGCCTACGGTCATCAAGCTCTGACTGAATCGAGTCTGCACCGTAGTCGGAGGGGAGAGGAGGGACGGGGTGACGGGGTGACGTGGGTCAAGGACAAGCCAGGCCTGTTCCTCGGTAAGTCCTCCGATTCCTGCCGCGGCAAAATCTCCTTCTTTTACGCGCTTCATTCCCCCCGTCCCTTTAACGATCTGATATTTCCTCTGCACAAATTGTTTTCGCTTCTGGGCTCTGGAAAAAACAAATTTACACTCGGTAAGTGGGAGAAGTCTGCCATGCCGCTATGGTTTAGGAAGAAACATTTGACTATTTTCTAGAGCTCTACTTGAAATCTGGCTCCGAGTTTCCTGCTGGCAAGAAACGGGATATATGGCTCTTCGCTTCTTTGCGGAAGGAATAATTTCACCAAACCTGAGCCGAGAAGAACAACCTCAACCTACTTGAACTCCTTTGAAATCTCAGGAAGGTTACTTAAATTATAGACAGTGGGATACTTGTGACAGCAGCAATAGCCCACATAACTAAAATTGGATAAATATCGAGTATATAGACCGCAAACCTCTCAAGGAAAAGGAAAGAAATTCTTGCATTTGTATTAGTCTCTCGACTTCACAAAATTTCCTACAATGCTGCAAATATTCGAAGTTTTGATGTTATTTTGAAAAGACCCCAACCTTTCTAATATTAAAGCCCTCGGTAACGTGGTACTAAAGATCGTTCTCTTGGATATGTTCATATACTTATCCGAGATTCTTTGGACATATCCATGTTGACGTTCAAAACTGTGTTCTTTGCTGCACAAGAAAGTCTGCTCCCGTTTTACTCCTCTCCAATATGTCACTTACATATGGTCATAAGGTACATTGCTAATCTGAAGTAAATTCGAATTTAACTTGGATAACTCAGAAACTGTCGACAATATTCCAATCGGTCAAATAATAGGTCGTGTTATACTGTGTTATACTGCTGCCTGCAATGAGCACCGAAAAGACAGTCAATTCCGCTGTAGGCTGTGTCGTCCAAATGAATGAGAGGTCAAGATAGGCATCATCAGCTGAAAAACTGAAGAATGTGGATCTTGAGAACAATTTAAGGTTTCGCCTACGACTATGAAAAAATGATTTTTGCTGCATGTTTCGTTATTGTTCCCTACCAATATTGGGAGAGCTAACGCATATTATTGCTCGAGATGATAAGCATAGAAGCTCGTATTATTCCCTGACTCCGGCACGCTTCCTCCTAGTTTCTTGTTCACTTGGCTCTTAGCTTTGTGGACGTGTTTCGAATTGGATGTTAATGTGTGCGTGTAAACAAGAAGATACTCCGCGAGAGCATATGTCAAGTCTAGTGAGATATTGCATTTCGTAGTTTTCCTTTTTCCGAAGACAAGGTCTGCGGCGAGCTGTTCTGGGAGCGGCACCTGCACTCGATTAGACCGAGTGGCACCTTGAATGAGTGAGGAGGGCCCATGGAATGTAATCGAGCGGATGGGCCCTGCCTAGACTCGCGAGCTCACCGGGATCACAACAAGTATGCGAGGAAGCTCTACGTCGACGGCAGACAGACAAGTGGCAAAGCGGAGCAGCGTTGGAATGGTGCGAGGCTGGAAGGATCTCCACCACAGCGAAGCGTTCTGGGCAGTGCGAACACAAGAACTCGCACGGAGCACCGAGGTAGGTGCGTGCGGGGTACGGACAAGACGAGGCTTCACAAGGGCCTGTTCTTTTCTTTTCTCTCGTCCCGCGTTCGTGCTTCAGTCGTTCTTTCACGGCTCAAAATGCATACACCGTCGCGCTGACGTCAAGCTCGCTTCTGCTAACGGTGCTGCGCTTCTGCTTTTGGCAAATGTCGCACAACATTTTAGGTTTACACGCGAATGTTGACACCTCATGGGGCACACTCTCTTGTGCCGTAAGTCATGCTCTGCTCGAAGGAAGAACACTTGGCTATCCGTCTTCCTGTCTTGTCTCCATCAGCCCATCGACCGAGCAGATGCACTCCATTTCTTTCCATGGCACGGTAAATTATTCATGAATTGGACGTGGCTTCGGGACTTGTTTAGCTCCTGTGTTCATCTTGTTTATTGGTGGACAACTCGGACTCTACGATATGCACAAATCACGTGGATACCAATGAAGTGGCATATATGTAAAGTAACGTAATGTTCAAAATCACAGCAACCAAGCCCATCGACCGAGCAGAAGCACTCCATTTCTTTCCATGGTACGGTAAATAAACTTGAAGTGGATTTGGCTTCGGGACTTGTTAGCTCCTGCGTTCATCTTGTTTATTGGTGGACATCTCGAACTTTACGATGTGCACAAATCACGTGGATATATATGAAGTGGCATATATGTAAACCGTAAAGTAGCGTGATGTTCGAAATCACATCAACCAATCCTTGAGAAAGCTTGCGACATTCGTTGGGTCATCAATAGTTCTTGCGTTTATCCTACTATTATAATGATTTCCATGGAACTAATTTCGATAAGGGCTTGGGGTGTTCGTTTATAAAACCTATGGATAAAATTTGTAAATACCTTCACACGAATAATGTGAAATTATTTACATTTAACGTCAAATATTTTATAATTACTAACCTTCTACAGGACGCTGATCCTAATCTTATCCATACACATCCTTCATCTGGTTTTTTCCCTGAATGATATCCGAAAATTAAGTGGTTTAGTAACTGATGAAATACGAAGACTCATTCTATGCAGGAAGACAGAGGAAATAATGTATGGATATTTGTTAGTATTTAAATGGATGGGGATTTAAGAGTTCAGCGCACGACTTCCAAACGCTTTTAGGTTATTTTATGACCCTTCTGAGGACATGATCGGACGGCGTGATGGTGAGGTCGATATTGCAGTCATGGGTGCGCTCAGGTTCTTACGACGAACAGGCAAACAGTAAATTATCTTCTGTTTAAATACACTGTGGAATATCGATTTAGAGAACTTAATTGGGGGACATGTCAACGCATCAAAAAAGATCTCTCTGGGTTCGTGGCCCGAAATGCTTGCGTCTTAGGAAGTTTGTGTGGCCTCGGGAAAAAGGACCACTGCATGCACATAGATATTGAAAACCTTGACATGGACGGCCAGGATGAACGCATCGGACTGATTTGTCAGGAAGATTGTATGTACGTTAAAAGGTCGACGTGACGGGCATCGAGCTCTGCTGGCTCGGGACGTTAAATATCTCAACGCCAGTAAGTGCTCAGTGACGGGCCGTAGATTGGTTACAAAGATCTGCTCTCCACAGTTCGGTACCTCTCACAGGCTGCCGCCCGAATCAATTACCTTCCTCTCGCTCGCGCGGCGGTCTCGCGGACCTGACTGACTGACGGACGGACTGATTCGACAGTGACGGTAACCATGCCTAGAACTCCGAGACTCCATCCATCCACCACGGACAGTGTGGATCATACACACGCAGGACGTCGGACTCTGGACACGTTCTCTCGTTCCTCGGGCTTCCTTCCGGGAGAAGTCCCTTGGAGAGATGACCGGAGTTGGCTGCCGGCGGTGCGGCTCCTCGCCCTCCCTCCCTCCCGGCCCTTGCCTACCGACGGACCACAGCACCACACACCGATCCCGAGCCCCCCGACGCGCTCGAGGCTGCTGCTGGGAGTGCGCTGGAGGGATTCTGGCCACACAGTCTCTTTGGCCATTCTGTCCACATATCCAGCAAGCGAGTGGGGTGTCGAGAAGAGATCTCTGATACTCCATGTTCCACAACGGGACAGGTTGCCCCATAACCTCGGGCCCTCACTCATGCAGCCCCAAAGAGGGCTCCATCACTATCGATCGTTGATATATATATGGTCGCTGCTGCAGTATGACGTTCCCATCTTCGCATCAACATATGTCTTCTCCTGCGTCTTTTCACCACCTCCGATGCTGGATCTATCCAGCACCATAACCTGACCAGGTCCAGTATGCGTTTCCGACATGATGTGAGCTACACGTCTGATAATGAACGGCACCCTATGTGCATTCTTCCATGGTTAAAACCGGTACGATCTCGTCATTTGTATCTAGTTCCAGCTACTTCAGGTATGTGTCTCATGATTGTGGACAACAAAGAGTAAATTCCCCTCGTGTGCATGACTTCTTGATATGTCCCACTCACATTTCTGCGCCTATCTTCTTGCGATGGGAAATCAGGAGTTATCGACTGACATGTTGATCGGCATAACTAAGATCTCTTATAGAAACTTTTTGTAGCTAAGAACGAGATTATTCATTTGCATAGTCAAAACTCAAAAGGTTGACCTCTTTTACACTCTGGTGAGATGAAAGAACGTATCTGTCGAACTTTGGGTCTTCTTTTTAGTTTCAGAACTTTCAACCATGGACTTCTTCCATTGACATCATCTTATCGGGAATCTCTTCAGTTTTAGAAGGTGGCAAACTGTGCTTCTTCGAATACACATGACTGATAATTACTCATCTCCATGAGAGTTTGACAATAATAATCTGCTATGAATTCGAAGGTTATGGAAGAACATTAGTTTGAAACCTGCTAGATAACCGTTTAGCTCCATTGTTGGTCGATGTCATCAGGAGATTATACTAGCGAGAAACTCTTGAGCACAATCACTCAGAGATACTCCTCGTCTTGACAGCGGGAAGGACTGGTCTTGACATGTTGTCCAAGATTAGGAAGCCAAGCTGACTTCTTGCTATAGTCCACTTACTGCACTAAAACAAGAGCCAGCAAAATTGGCCCAAAATTACTAAATGAGTCATAATATCAGCCTCTTATCTGCCTTCGCACAATCTTCGTAAAAAGATATTGCAACAAGCCACAGGGTTTGTACTTGGAAAATCCCCTCCATCGCAACGAAGAAGAACATCAGTCAACAACCTTCGTTGTTTCCATACGAGTTATTGTCTCCTTTAGAGCCGTCTCCTCCACATTTAAAAGGGAGGAAAGTTGAAGTCGATACAAGTATTGGATTCTTACAATAAAGTTACAGAATTTCAGCAACTCGGCACTTTAATATATGTGGAGATTCCCGTTTTGACCTAACCGCAGCTACTGTTTCACAGACCTCAAAGTCCTTCTCATGACACCTTCGAGAGTGGCCAACTTGTGAAACGAGACTACTATAAAATCAATCGGGCCTACACTGCAGTGATATTGGTAGTGTGTTGGTTTAGGTTAGGCCCAATTTTAGTTGCACCGGGTGCAGTCAAACGCGCAGTCACCGTAGGGATGTACTTTATTGAGATGATGACAAAAGGAGAGAGGACGAGCGACTCGGGCGAGCGAGCGAGCGATCAGAAGGACAAAGATTCGTTTCGAACCTCCTCGTAAAGCTCATTCATAACCACCATCCTACTAGGGCAGGGAGAAAGAAAGCACAAGGACCTAAACGCCGAAAAGAACTCTGACCACAGGCAAAATTCGCTGAATATTCCAGAAGGACTTCGTGGCGTCTGAAACACCACATTAAGGACCTTCCCCCCTCACGGTGGCTTGTGCTAGCTCAGTAGTTCGAATCACCACGAGAAACAACGGCCAGGGAAAGTTGTTTCTCCGGGAAAGAGTCACGGTGATTCGGGAACGGATAAGCACCAACGGAGTAACACGTCGGATCGAACTGGCCTGGCCTAGTCACAAGCTCTCCGAACCGGGAACAGGTTCGGACATAGCTTCGGCACTTCAAACTGAATAGAGAGCAAGTCTATCGGGGCGCTGCAAGGCTGCCCCAATGATTTGCATACCGGAGGGAGGCGGAGCCGCCGGCCAAGTTGGACGCCATAACGGTAAGGCAAGTGCGACCAGGGAAGGCGAGCGTAGTGGGGAGCTGGTCTGGATAACCTTGACGATGGATTCTTTGAGCCATGGGAGCAAGGATTTTGATCTGCTCAGCAGCGTCCGACGTGGTGAGGTGAGGCGTGCGGTCGACACGTGGGATCGAGCTTGTGGCGCTGAGGGCACCGTCGCCAGTGCAAGTTGCTTCAGAGCCACCAGGTGAGATTTCATCGAGAGTATTGACTCATAGAATCTCTGTCTGGATGCCTTTTCTCTCGACGTGGCAAACAGCCTAACCTACTCCGCTTTCACACACTTTCTCCTTTGGTACGTGATGACATAACTCTGATCCTTTAGTAATAACTCCGGACTCCAACTTCAAACTGCTTTTCCACTGTGCCAAGGTAAAACAAATGGAACATGCGCCCTCCTCGAATCAATACCGAACTGGCCATGCCAGACACAAGAGCTAACCTCATGCTGCTGAAAACAGGTTTGCCCACATTTCTCAACCTCTGTCTTAAGCTCCAGTCTTCCACGTTTAGTAAATTTTCTGCACTATTGTCCTGCTGAAATGTGTCACCCAGGTACCATAGTGGCCACTGTATACTCCTTATGCCTGGCAGAGTCAATTTGCCTTACACCGCCAAATTCTCTGCCTTCTGACTTGCAGTCTTGTAGCTCGTTGTGAAGGCCATGCTCTTGTTTTTCGGCCACTTGATCAATTTCACTGCCGACGCTTCTCTTGTGGAACAGGTTGACATTGCTGCAACTGGATGCCCCTCATGAAGGGTTCTTTACCTCCTTGGCTCGGTAGTTTAATTTAAAGTCTGTCCTACTCGTTTTTGGTGAGTTCTTGGTCGCCACTCTCTGGCTTTGTTTAAAAAACAAAGCCAGAGACTCTCCGCCACTCTCCCTTCCTCCACAGCTTTTGCTTCTCTTCGTGCGTTTATTTTTTGATTGATGCAGTGTTTGTAACGTTTTTATGTTTGAAGAATTGTTGAGCTGGCCATGTTGGGTTCCGGTTGGTGATGACGTGGTTGGTCGTACTCGTTCTATTCTTGGGGGCATGGATCAGAACTTATTCTTATCGTTAGGTCATTTCTTCTTCCCACAAATCATTTTTTTAATATTCTTATATGACGGTGAACATTTTCATCGTTCTATCCCTTGGGGCAGTGTTGGCTATGTGTTGTGGATCGGAACTTACTCTAACCGTTAGATGACGTTGTTTTCTCTTCTAGTTTGTTTGATGAAGGGGGCTCGTCTCGTTCTATCGTATGGGGAATTGATGGGTATGCATTATGTGTCATGGATCGGAACTTATTTTATGATATTTATATGATCGTGGGCAACGTGAGTCATGCGTGGGGCATGTGCCATGGATCTAAACTTATTCTAACCGTTGGGTCCCATCTTTTCATATACTTTCTCCACGGTTTTTGACGCAATAGAGGTGAGGTGAGAATGTATGGCAAAGTGGATATGAAGAAACCATCGAGCATAACATGGACAAAACCAAAAGAGTAAGGTGGACTATGCCCCAATAACATTACAATTGAAATTAATTGTACAACATTTAAGTTATCTATATCTAACCAAAGCATGTGCTAACTGGATTGCAGTAAATTTTCATTTATATACAGCAACAGATAAAAGCCGCACTGAATCAATGATGAAATGTTTTCGATATCAGAACACATTTTCATGTTAAAATTGTGACGGTTTTTCTTTAATCAAAAAAATATCTCTGTTTGTATTTATTTATGTTTTGTTTTTAAAGATTGTAACGACTTCATTCATGGTGTTTACATGATCTGGATATGAGATAAACATAATATAATGATCAATTTTATATGTCTCATAACAAACTAAAAAATTCACATTCTTACCAATAATTAATAGTGAGCTTTGATCTGAGAATGAATTCAAATCATATTTTCTTGACTGAAGGAAGTTGATCGGATTCATTCTACATTATTTTAGGCATTAATTGTCTTCATTTCAAAGTGTGCCCTAAGTTTGTGCAGATATGTATTTCGGAAATTGAATATGGTATATTATCTACAAAATGTCATAATTTCAAGACTTTGAATTTTCAAATCATGAGCTAAGACAAAGATTTGACATGCATATTTAGCTTCATTTTATTTTTATGTTTTGAAAATAGATATATATACATAGAATCTTTAATTACATAAATGGATATACGTATGAGAATTGATTACGGATCTTCTGCGATTAGAATTGATATATTGCCATTTTGTGATAATGCAAAAATTGTAAAAATGTTACATTTTGTAATTATTTTAGCTATGTGAAATAAAATAAATTTTTCATGATGATTGAAATATAAATATGATTATTTGATTTATTGATTGTTAACAATAGTGGATTACATTTTTAATTTCTCAGATCTCAACTACAAATAAACACTTCTCAACTTATCTACACAATTTTAATATCAATTTAGAAAAAGAGATTATTAGAGATTATGAAGGATGGAGCCAAAATTCGTTTCGTTATCTTTAAGTAACACATGTTATGAATTTTTTGCCTTTACATACAGCTTTTGGCAAAAAATTTTCTTGCATGCAAAATCACTCAAAATCATGGCAAACCATAATATATAGTGTAAAGGGACAGCTTTTTCTAAAAAAAACTACAATGCTATGAACTGAAGGAATTTAAATCATAATATATTAAATTTTAGCTACTTAAGGCTTCTTTTTGAAAGCTTTATGAATAGGGTGAATAATCTCACTTAGCCCATCTACATGTTACTTCTTTCAACATATTATGGTATCTTGCGAAAACATCAAACATTTTTACATTCAAACGTACATGTAAAAATTTTAATCCAATTTATAACTTGATTCGATTCACTCCTGATCGTGGTGTTATTTCGTAATCTGACTCATGAAAAAGTATGATCCCTGTTTTGAAAAAGAATTTATTTTTGTAATACAACGTTCATACAAGCGGGAATGACTTATGGACTCTCCGTCTCATCGTCTAATTTCCCAAGCCTTACAGCTGACATGATGCATCATACCCGTATTCATGTTTTCGGCACTTTCAGTCTTACTGCGGTTTGATTTCTGTCCGCAGGAATCCTCCTTTCAATGGGTGGCGAGAGAGGTGTTTTTGTTATCTTTTTTCCAAGAACTTTTAGTAGAGTTGAATTTTTTTTCTGTTCAATGCCGGTCCAGTTTTTGCCAGCTGGTTGAAGTTGTGAATGAGCTGTTGTAAAGTTCTATCCTACCCATCTCAGCAGCACAACTGGTCCCTTACGTGTTCAGTTTGATGCAAGTATCTCAAGTTCGCTACATCTTGCAGGAACATTGGTTGTCGCCCCTGTGATGGGCTCACTTCCACCTAATGTAGAGTAGATCCCGCTCCTGGGCCAGTAGATTTCAAAACTGACTTTCGATTTTCAAAATATCCTTTGGTTTCTTGTGGGTCAGTTGGAAGTAGTGATGTCTGTGACATGAATGAGTAGAGTCATTAAACTGTTAAACACCATGCTCGCATTCAGAATCTGGCCTTTGTTCTAGCTCAGGATGTGATGTAGATATCTTGTACAGCTTCAGCAATCTACTCTCATCTCGCGATGTTGATTCATGTAAGATTCTTGTTTTGGATCTAAATGCACATATACAAGACTTACTTCAAATTTATCGCATGTGCTGATGATCAAAATTTTGAAAATCTGCGGACTGGGTTACCCTTGAGGAATTCAAGTCCTGTTTACATCCCAAGTTGTCAGTCAATTCTGGCTTTCAAGACTGCTGCAAATGTATCATCTTCGCAAAATCTAGCACTGCAGACTAAGAGAGTGGAAAGTAGAGGATAGCACCATAATACTGAACATGCTCGCAGCTGCTGCATTTTCCAGGAATCGACGGAGCACAACGTTCAGGAGTAGTTCTGAAATTCTGAAGTCAGGATGAAAAATTCAACTTTTCTTCGAGAGGTATGTGTCAGCTCACTGGATGCACAGGCTACAGGCTTTTGAATGCTTCGAGCATTCTTTTGCTGTGAAAGAATCGGTGGTATTATAGACTGTACATCGATTCTCAAGACAGGCTAGTCTAAACAGACCGCCTTTCTGTCCATGCAAGAAGGCCTGATTCCCGAGCACTACTGAGCCGAAACTCAGCCACGGTGGCTGGTTTGCTTCTTCTTAGGTACAATGTATCTGGTACACCACTTTGGAAAGCGTCCAGCGACGAGCACCGTTCGTGAAGTGTAAGGTTTCTATGGTCAAGATCATGTTGTTGCCATGAGTTTCCGTTCTATGATTGAGATCTTTACACGAAGGCTTCCGCCGATTCCACGGATTCAGAGTCCAGTAATTTTTATACACAGAAGGAAGTGAGGTAAGCCTGTCGGCAGAGTGACCTCTTTTATAGGAGTAAGCACTTGCAGCCAACAATGTTGCCCATGAGCATCGTTGCAAAAGGTGGATGAGGACCATGTTGCTGCCGACGAACTGAAGAAGGAATTAAGAGGATGGAAGATACTCGTGATATTAATGATGGTGAAAGAATCCCGGTCGTGACGTACATGCATGTAAGAACAACGCACACGAAGAGAACGGGACGAAATAATATGGGTGTAAGCTACATGTGATTACACTCTGCATATAATCTCAAGGTCGGTGTGTCATGGTGTACCACTTCTCGATCCTACCCGATCTGCAGGACACTGGGAAAGCACATTGCACTCTGTTGAATACTAGTTCTCATTTCGTCTTTAATGTCCACTGCTCGAGCATTTCGATTGCTCGGTCTGTGTACTGCGGATTTCTGTCATATGATTGATCTGATGTGTACGAGGTTTCTCTACTGTCAAAATTTACCGTAGACCTCGCAGGATTGAGTAGTTCCATCGATGATAATAGCCACTATTGATTTTCTCCTGATAAAACGTGAGAAAGTCTGCTCGAACTCCTCTCAAACTGGGTTGTTCTTGGATATTCACACATAAATTACAGATTGTCCGACAACGATTGGTCATGTTCTAATTTGAATTAGTACCTGAACAATTCCTTGTCGAACTCTAATGACTTGACATGTAGTTTAAACTATAGTGATAAGAGATTTGACAGTTTGAAATAGCCTGCCGCACAAAACCACACAATCCATGGCTTGGACCTGCGGATTTCCCGAACCGCTCTACTCAACATTCACTTCACCACTAAGAAACTCAACATGAAACATCTTTCTCTAAACCTCACCTGAAACTGATTTGACTTAAGCTACGACTTGGATTTCTACTGTGATTATATCTCATCTATGAAAGGAGTACTCACTCTGAACGGGTGGACGTGTGGTTGCGTCAATGGATGATAACAAAGAAGGTGTAAAGTTTGCATGTTTTGACTACGATCATATCTTTACGACCTTGTTTGACACTTTAGATTTTTCATTTCGTATGGGTGGAGCCTGAGGAGGAAAATCTAGATCATAGCGTAACGGTTGCCCAAGAATTAGTGAGGAGTAGTGAGAGAGTCTCTCATCTCCACAATAGTACCTCCACTTCATTTGTGACTCTTAATCTGCAGAGGTTTACGACTGTATCCCACCCTCAAATAGTTAGAACTAAATATCGTATTAGGTTCTTCATCACAATCAAATCATCCTTTCAATCTTCATTGCAGGTACAGTTCCATGAAAAGAACTCAATGTATTGGCCATGTGATTGACCGAGCTTCGCTTTTTACAATAGAGACTGGGAAGTTTCATGGGAGGGAGTCGATATTCTGTCCACGTTTGGTGGCTTTCCATCTTTGAGGTGGAAGTAGAACAACTGCTGGTTAACTCGACAAAACCTTCCAACTTTGTTTACCCTCACTGACAGGGAATACATGAAGAAGTCCGCTGCCAGTATAAAGGCTGAGTATGATGTTCTATCATACAGTGAGCATGACTTGAAAGCTTCAACATAACGGAAGTTAAACGGAATTGATTTTCTGTCTAGTTCTGAAATCTCGTAATCTTGAAAGAGAAGATCTCCTCATGAAGCGTCTTGATGGTTTCGTTGCAAGTTATTAATGGACACTCAGATGCTCAAAGTACACACTACAGATTTTACATTTTGCCTGACAGACTAGGAGTACATGAAATAAGTACACCACTTCCAACATACAAGCTGAGGTCAAGAGTATGAAGAGACAACGTATCCACCCACAAAGCATCACACAAGGGTGATTCATCTGTACTTGGAGTAAGTTATATTTTTTCCGTTTGACAATTATACCAGGTACCCAAGCCTGCCTGTCTCAATTATCTTCATGTGAACATGAGCCTCTCTATCTGCTGTGTTTGTAGAGTACGAAACAACAGTCGAAAGCTACAAACGTCAACGGCGAGACGTAGAAAGTTTCATAAGATTCTCGGGACTGCCTCAAATTTCCACTCACAAAGTGAAGGTTTAGGTTTCCGTACAAAAGTACAGCATGAATGAAATTCATTTACGTCCAAGATTGGAGTAAACACGATTGCTTATATGCTTGACATTCAATTATCTCCACAGCAGTGTGACATTAACAACATTTACTCAATCCCAAAACCAGATGCAAACAACCCATTTCAAGACCGTACGTTGACATCAAGAATTTTAAATGAATTTATCTGTCAGACCTCACAGTGCGCAATTTACAGAAGTCATGAGTAAGCATGGTACATCTTGACATGGAGGCCAGAAAAGCTTCCAGAGTAATATTTTTTACAAATGTGAGAACAACCTTTACGCATGAATGGACCTTGAGACAAAATTTCTTTGGAAGATCCACCTCGAAAGGGTTCTCTGAACGGATCTGATTCTCCATAGCTGTAAACAAGTTCATGAACATACTGAGGACACTCACAGAAACTTGCTCTGCAACTTTAAGATTTGACTAAAGTTGCAACAACCCCTATACATCGTAGATAAGCTACCTTCAGGAGTTTTAATCAAGAACTGTTCTTCTGAGAGTGGCCTTGTTAGTATGTCAAGTTGGCCGAATAAGCTCCTCAAGTGATCAAAGCCAAGCGGGATGTTCAACCGGAATGCGTACAAGGTCCGTGTCGAAGAGTTCAATAAACTGCGGTCGCACAAATATTGAATTAATTGCAGACGATAAGGTAGATGAATACAGACCGTAGAACATGGGTGACAGGAAACAACGTTCACTTTATGTCAGCTACAAAAACCTAAAGAGAAACGTACCCTGCATTTGCGCCATCATAGTTCAAGGTAACTAACAAAAGGTGGAAAGCCTGTTGTGAATGGGATGCAAATTGCTAGCGAAGACATCAAAAGAAATCTTCTAAATACCTTGTGGTATATCAAGTTGCAAAGTGATTCAAACTTCAGTCAGACACTGTATCGTCAGCTAGGAAAATGTAATGTGACTTACGTTTCTCCTAGCTTGAGGTTTCCGAGGGTCACCCAACAGCTTCTAAACTTTAGCATAATAGGAGCATACCTGTTCGTTCAGGAGTCGGACCTTGCTGCCTGCATACCGCCGGTACTCTTCAAATATTGCTGTTAGGTTCCACCTTTGCAACTTCCTCAAGCAACCAATGACAGTACCTGCTTCCACACCTCAGAATCTTTAGCCAAATTGATAGTATCTCTCAACAGCCTCTCTTCATCCACATTTGTTGAAATCCAATGTGTTTGGTCGGAAGGACCGATCCACTGAATATCAAAGATGGCGAAATGTCATGAATTCATGCTGATTACTTACGCACCTGTTCTATGTCGGCCCAAGTTACACATTACGTGTAATGGGTAATATTGAGGAGAAAGAATCACCTGAAACAAATGAAATTATTATAAGAGAGTGATAATAAGCATGGGCTCCCTTGATACAGAAACAAGAGAACAGATCTACGAACTCAAGGTTATCATAAATACATGCAAATAGTCAATTAAAACCTGCCCTCGAATGATAAGTGAATGGGAAGCAAAGTAAAATAGTCTGACTAAATCGTGATATTTGGAATGTGAAAAGAGTTGATAAAACCTGCAAGGCGGAAAGAACCTCGGCTTCAGACATTGGACTGCCAGGGTTTGTTTGTTCGTCAGCTCCCGATGGTCTCACCAGATCGATCCCTTGATCAAGGAGAAAATTTAAGCTGCCATGCGAAGCAGAATTTCTCACTTGTTAACGTACAATACAGCCAACAGCCCAAAATCAAATACACGTCCATATCATTGCACTTGATAGGGTTGAACAATTGATTCAGAAACCTTTACTAGATTACCAACTACACAGAAATGTCTGATGCCCTCACAAGCCAACAGAAGGAGAAGGAGAAATTCAGCATACAAGGGTTGTGAAGGCTCATCGTTGGAGAGATAGATGACAGTTTTCAGATTGAGGCGTTCCAGAAAAGGAAAATTCAGCTGATGGCACTGCCCAGATCTGCTGAGGTCGTGTTCCACCATTCCATAATTGCAGGGCGGTACAAAGTAAGACATAATCCCAGAGCACCCAAGACCTAATCCTCCTCGTTCTCCCTAGGAACTCAATTCTTGTCACCTGCCATCGCTGAAAGTCTTCATACCTTCTTTCGAACCTCCCCACCTCAACCCCACAATTCCTCACGTCATCTGATCGGGTTCATCGTTCAGTTGGCGCATTGTCTTTCGAGTTTAACCATCCCCACACACACCAGAGCACAGCAGATCCTCTGTCTGAAACTCTTCGGAAGCTAACACCTCATTCCTTCCTGGTAGTCAGAAGCCTTCCAAGCAACAAAGCTGTCACCATCACCCAGCTCTGACTGCGATTACTGTACCGTAGAAACAAACAACAAAGTCAAAGGAAGACATCGGGATCATCGGGATTTGGGATGGGGGTACCAGACGACTGTACCAGGGGAGGTCAGAGCAGTCAGTGAGAACTCTGCACTCGCCTGCTATTTCCTGCTGCCCCTCCCTCCCACCCGATCCATATGAACGAACCATCACCTATCAAATCCCCACTTGTTGGGAGAATTTTCGTGATTTGCCTGGTCGTTCACTCCATCCACATTTACTGAGATTCTCTTCGGGCTTTCACTACGATGAGCACAAGCTTCACCGTTCGAGATGCTCCTGTTTGCATTATTCTGAGTATGTCTGTCTTATATATTTAGAGTGGACGTTCTCCCCGACCATCTTATGCGTCCTATGAACATGCGTCCGGCAGGACCACCCTGCAATATAGCACAACAAAAGGAAAGTCCCTTCAATTCTTGGAAGGATGAAACCAATTGGGTACGATGGGGCTAGTCCCCAATATTTTCACTACCATATCATAACTATGTAGTACAATGGTCAACAACTGCACAAGCATATGATATGGATGGTTCAGCTAAGGATTTCACCACATTGTGCGCTACGTCCGAATTTCATACAATTATTGATTGTCCATAGTCAGTGCTTGCAATATGTGTTGAGTTGCAGTCTACATTGCCATCTCAATAGAAAAATGTCTCTATGTCTTCTCAATCTATTCACAGAGATATTGTAATTTTTTGTTGTTGTGTTGCATGAATTTTTGTAATGACTTAACGCAATAATCTCATTTCCATCACTATTGACTTCAGATTATCACCTATAACATTCAGGCAAACATGATTTTCAACCACTTAGACTAATACATTACAAGTATGATAATAACACAATCACTGAAAGTAACGATCTCAGAAGGTATATATATGAGGACATGACGATTTTGGAACACTTTTGTTTGTAATTTCTTACATCAATTCAATTTCACAATATATTTTTAACATGATTATCTCTACATATGGTTAAACAAAACTGGTGCAAAAGATTTGTGTTAAAAGTCCATTTAATATATAGAGTAAGGTCTCATCTATTTCTATAGTTGACAATCCTAAGTTTCAATGCTAGCAATGAAATCATCATTGAAGTGAAGTAATTTAATTTGCAATATATTTAGCCATGATAAATACCTTGTCATGAAGTAATTAAGTATGTAATGTTCGAGATGATGAGTGATTATGGAGATCTCACATGAATATAAAAACGATTAACTTTGTATTATAATACAAAGTTAATCGTGTAAAATTAGAGCAAAATATTTTGAATATATACAAGTGCTAATTAAAATCCCATATTAAAAAGTTAATTATAAATCTAATTAAAGTTAAAATTTAATTGAATATTTTCTACATTAAAATTTAACATAGGTTTTCTTCATTTTTCCATAAATTAAAGTATCACTACGTACAAATATACCTAATCAACAATTTTTAAACTTGTATTAATATGTTTGAAATCATGAATTTGATTGCTAATGTATGAATGTGTTTAAAATCACTGTTTGATACATTCTACTGCATGAAATTTGCAATGTGTAGTAAAATATTTTTTCAAACTTTGGATCAGGTAGAAGAAGATGTATTTATTTCAATCAAGTCGTTCATCATAATAGACTCCATTACTTGCATATGTGTTTCAATCTGATACAATTTTGATTTTACTATCAAAATAAAGAATATAAAACTTTTAACAATGTGCAATTCTTAATTTTTTAAATATTACATTTATAAGTTTTGAATTCTTTTTAAAAATTTGATAATTTTTATATGGTTGAGAATTTTTTTAATCACCACATAGACTCAATGTAGACGTTGTTCATGTGCTAGAACAACATAGAGTAAATTGTACCATGTATGATTCTTTAATATTATATAATATGATGTGAATTCAAGTGTAAGATATTTACGAATAAAAATAAATATGACATGATTGATTCAATGGTGAAAACGTATTGGTATCATGAAGATTTTCTTCGACTAGACCAAAATTAGTATCACTTAAGATGCGAGTTAAATACTTGATGGAACCTAATCGTAACACGGCAATCCATCAAATTTCATTTTATCAGATGAAATCCACCAACGGTACGCGTCATCCATATTCTAATATCAAGCAAGAGTGCATGCAATTCTAACTTTCCCCGCGCATGGCTTTGAACGATGCACTCTCTCCTCAATATGTGCATCAGCAATCTGCTTCCTAACGCTGTCCACCTACTTACTAGAAACTCACGGTACTCGTCTTCACCTTTGCTACTCCCATTTCAATATTTCTCGCACCGTACAGAAATCCAAACCAGCATCTCATCCGCCCAAAAAAATGTGACAGCCTTTTGATACGCCTCAACCTTTGGTAGTCATGAGACTATTTTGCATACGGAAGCACTTTCTGCCCAAATTCGGCAGTTAAGCTAATTACAATGCTCTACAGATTTGTAAAGTGGTATGAAGTCGGTAGAAGTAATGCATTCATCGGGAGTAAAATTTGTTTGGCACTTGTTTCAAGATTGATGTTTCTGGATGTTCCGATTTATTAGAAGTTCAGGTACAAACTTGCAGAATGTATAAACCTCGCTCTCATACATGTACAAGTTTTAGAACTTGGCGGATCCCATTAGGTAAAACAAGACTTGATGGTACCATCAACTAGTTTCACATGAATAATGAAGCATCATATTGTAAAAAAAATAATGATTCAAATGGAAATTACATATATGATTACAGAAACATAAGATCAAAATATTCTTAACATAAAAAGAACGAAAATAAAAGATCAAGATTTAAAGAAGTCATCTTTTATAAAAAAGAAGAGTATTAATTTCATTATAAACTTCACGTTGAATATAATTAGATGAAAATTATTATCTAGTTGAAATATTGTTATAAAACTTATTACTTATTGTAACGAGCGGGTAATTATCCCTCACCATGCAAAATTACGTCCTTCCATACTCATTCGTCTTCAAAGATGGCGGACGCAGAGGCAAGCAGCGAGCTGTAGTCGAGACCTCGGAACGTGGATACTCTCCTCGTACTCTCGTCCTCCAAGTCTCTCTCTCCTTCCTTCGCTGCAGGAGCATCCCTTCATCTGCCACTCGCCGCCACCGTATTTTCTCAGTCAGCCACGCCAGATTTAGGGGGACCGCTAAACTGAGCGGATCCACGCAACATCCAACTGACCAAGCGTTGAGGGATAACTAGCCGCTACTTTATTTTATCAAAGAGTTAATTTTCTTAAATTCATATAAATTTCATGAAAAATAATAAATTTTTTTATATTTTAAGCTACTCTACACACATGGCTCTAGAAGGCTTTGCCATTCAAAATAGTTTTGCCAAAGTGGTATGTGTACACCCCGATTGGCGTGAGATATGTGGATTTTGGAATAACAAAGTGTTTGTGTTTTGTTGTCTGTGGGTTTTCTGGCCCGTGCGTGACTCGTTTTACTCCATCAACAGGTCTACCGTTAGTAGTATAGTGATGGAACAGATGGAGCGAGTTTCTGTCCAGCGAGGGACGAGCTTGAAAGCGACGTAACGGAGAGCTCATGGCGGGCCCTTGTGAAAGCCTAAACCCAAGAGGTGACCACCGACGACAAATTGGACCGAAATGAGCTAAAATGTCGACAATTCTTTGTGTTTGGAACGTCGGAAGCGAAGAATCAGTTGAAACGTCGAGGCGTTTTTTCTTAAACCCTAACCCTACAGCAAGATCCGAGCGTAAGAGTCTTGCAGAATGGATGTTCACCGGAAATTTCTGCGCCCATGCGCTGCCGAAAGTTTCGTGGAGAATGGCGCGTCGATGCGTAGGTCGACCTGGACGATTTTTCAATGAATTCGCCCGGCTGTGACATTGTAGCAGGGGCGAGTGCAGTATTGTCTGAAGAATGCTGCAGGACGCAATGCCAGGAGAAGCGTTCGTGTCAGGTGATTGTCAGATTGGGAGCTGCAAGCCTTCTACGATGGACGATCCGAATACGAAACTTCAAGAGGTGAGGACGTCAGGAACATCGTCTACTAGCATGATTTTTCACATTTCATGTTTTCCGTTTCAGTCTCCCCACTTAACAGTTTGAAGGCTCCTATTGGAGATCGAGGTGAGATTGAGAGCGCATTCTGTGATGACATAGATTCATCGTCGGTGTCGTTCCGATTCGTGTGCAATTTTGGAACAGATGGCGGAAAAGCTGGAGAAGTCGGAAGCAGGTCGGAAAAAACTTCGACAAGCCATCACTATGCTCAAGGAGAAAATGGAAGCTACAGAGAAGGTACTGCAAGTCAATGAGACTCTCCGGCAAGGTATACCTTCTTCCAGGGCTTATGTCTCGTATCCGGTTTTTAACTCCCGGCCATCATTGCAGGGTGTAACAAGCCTCAACCCTCTTGTATTGAATAGTTTGCTTGCTTCCACTTCCAAAATAAGAATAATAAAAAATTGCTGGCGTGAACATTGATATAGAGGTCTGGCCCCCTTCGTGTTCGATTAGCGGGTAATGCTGATTGAATGTTTCCTTTCTGGTGTTTTTTTCCCGCAGAATGTGAAAAAGAAAGACTGCGTGCGGAATCCGAGAGGAAGAAGGCGGAGGAAGAGAAAGCGTTGCGACTACAAATTGAGAAGGAGGGCCTTTCCGTAAAGGAGCAACTCGCCCGTGTGCTTCAACGTTTAGATGCTGTTGAAAGAAACAGTAAATCCGATCGCTTGGAGACGGACCGTATACGCGGAGAGGTAATACACCTGTTGGAAATTTATTTGCGGATTGCTGTTTATCTGGTGTTATTATGCTTGATTATTTCTGCACCCATGTCATCGGCTTTGTTCAATGGATAATGGAAGTTTGATTACTCTTTTCATGTCATGGAAGGTCCGATATCTTTTGATAGATCCAAAAAAAGATGCCGTCACAACAATTTACAATCTATACAGCTTCTTATTTTGCTTCTTGGATATATTGCAGATGAAGCAGGCAATGACAGCACTTGGTGGAGCTTTGCAAGTCGCAGAAGCGGCCCAGGTTTCTCTTCAGGGTCTAGAGAAAACTGTACAAGACAAGGTGTATTTTCGAACATTATCCTCAGTGTTCTATGTTCTTCAAGTTGGCACGCGTGAATAGTGTTGTTCTTGTTGAAGCTCAATTGTGTTTTGGAGTCCGATGCTTCTGAACCATGTATAGGCTTGCTACAAGTGTCTCCCTGGGCATCATAACCGATGAATGCCTTGAAATCCAGCACTTTGAACTGCATTGGTTGTATTCTATCTTCAACTTCAACTACACCTTCATTTTCTGATACAAGCAGAGAAGCATGTGCCAATTGGTCCTTTGCATCGCTAATGTTTCGGAGTGTCTATTCACAGGTCAATGTGGCTGTCTCTACCTCCTCGAAAGCTCTTTCGTTGGCTCAAAGCGTTAGCTCTGACGCAAAGGCTGCTCATGGAGTAGCGGCCTCAGCTGAAAAGAATTCACAGTTGTTAGTGTCGCGAGTTGCAGCTGTGCAGAAGCAAAGCGGAGGTTTTGATCTGCGCTTGAACACTCTTCAGCAAGAGTCTTCCAAGGCTTTATCGGTGGTGGAGTGTGTGAAATCGGATGCAAAGGCGGCCCATGTTGCCGCCATCGCTGCTGAAAAAATGTCACAATCCTTGGTATCACGAGTCGCAGCTGTGCAAAAAGAAAATGCAGCTTTTACTCAAAGGCTGAACGTTCTGCAGCAAGAGCTGCGCACTAGATATGTTGATGTCGGAGTTTCGTCTAGCGGGACCAGAGGTCTGAATACGCCGGTGGCTCATGAGGCGAAGAAAGTACCTGGGAGGGGAATGGTTCTCTCGAAGAATCAACATTTGAATGGGGCGGGTTTGGACACTCCCAAGCCTTCAAACGGGAGGTCTGTGTCAGGGTCTACTGAATTGAATCATAGCGTTGGTCAAACCGAGACTTTAGTGGGCTTAACTGGTGTTAGCACACAGGCAAAGTGCCATCCTTCTGAGTCTCTCCAAGTGGTAGATTCTGGCTCTTCTTCCGGTTGCACGAGTACATTCTCAAGAGAACTTGACGTAGTTAAGAGGAACAAGGTCTGTAAGGAAACTGGAGAGCCTTCCGTGGCTGCTGTACCTAAGAGACCTTTATTAACATCCCCTCCTGTGAGCACTGCTGCTCCTCGCTTTCAAAAACCTGCAAATGTACCTGTCAGACGTCTCCTGGATTCTCGACCTTTGAAGTGTACGACTGGAAAGGAATGTATCCCGAGCGCCTCAAAGGTAGGTAGTGATGCATCAGGAACTGTGAAGGCGGGCAGTAGCAGTGGCTTGAATTTATCCCGCGGAGAATTGGTTGAAAGTCATCCAGGTATTATGGACATTTGTGTTCCTCAAACTAGCGGGATTACTGGCTTGAATGTTGCGTCTAGAAGGTGTTCAGTATCCCAGCCGACTAAGTCCGACTTTACTGGGAGGCAAAAGAGTTGTGGCTCGGTAGACAATGAGGAGAACTGTTCTCACACTGCTACTTTGAAAGTAATCGAAGATGGCAAGGCTTCGAAGAGTCCCGAAAAACGAGTGGTCAAGGGTCCCAAAGGGCAGAGAAGGGTGAAGCTCCCAGCTGCTTTGCTTAAAGATATAACCAAGTTATTCTGTAGAGAAAAGAAAGTTCATACAAGGATGGAGGCCAAATTCATGGCTTTGGAAAAGGTTCTACAAACTGGTTGGAATAATGGGTCTTGCAGCCAGCACAATTCTGAAAGCTTACCTCTGGAGTCAAGGAAGCGCAAACGGAGAGAGAATGGTGCTGAAAAAAATAGCAAGAGGAGACTGAATGAAGCTTGTGATCAAGCATTGAAGAAGGATACGAGACCTCAGGATGGACTTCAGATCGAAGCCTCTCAGGTCGTGAGGGATAAACCTGGTGCAGCTGTTAAGAGATCAACCAGGAACAAATCAAAGGACTCTAGGACAGCGGATCCTGCAACTCCGGTGCAGTCGACACCACCTTTTGCACTACCGAAGGTTAGCGAAAGTGTTGTTGCTGAAATATTTATGACGGCAAAAGTCCAGGAACAAGCTAGTATGGAAGTCAGTGGAGGTGAAATTAGGCCTCTCGCATCTGTCTCGCATCCAGTTGGAGAGAGACGCAGTGTTCTTGTTACGCCGCTAAGAGAAGAGATGGAAACTGGTGGGGGTATTCACTCTGAGGGAGTAAATTGGTGTCAGGATGTTGGATTTGATGAGGGAGGAACTAATAAGTGGACTGTTACTTGCAGTTCGGATCTGCCTGGAACAGCTGGAAAGAGTGGGGATGAGAGGGAACGGACGCATGATATGGATATTGACAGGTGTCAGGACAAAGGTACTCATGATATATATGAGATAACAGGACTTGGATGGGACACCGAATCTGACCTCAGCGAGGATGAGTTCGATCCGGAGTGGTGGACCACCAAAAGAATTCTACTATCTCCAACTCTTCCAGAACTCCATTCATCCACCGATCTTGATGGGGGAATATTAGACACTAGCATCGCTTGTCCTTCTTCAAACTCAATTAGCTTGGAAGAGATGGCCCTCTGTCTAGACGTGCTGCCTCCAGTTCCCGGAGAAGGGTTAGGAGGAGAAATTATAGAACCTAAGTTTCAATTCTTTTCAGATGCACATTCTCTCGATGAGTCTAAGTCAGGCGATTCGAAGGTTGTCCTAAACTGTGCACCTATGGTGGAGGGTGCCGAAGTACAAGATCTCCGAGTAGGAAAGGTCGCAGGTGGGACTGATATAGCTACTCAATGTCTAGATGAATCTTTCTCAGGCAACACAAGCGGTGAAGGAAATGGTGTTTCTAGACCGGAAGGTGGAGAAGTACTTCTTCTACCATCAGAAGGGTGTGAAGGAATGAATATATCAGATACTCAGAGTCTGGATGAATCTATAGCGGGGAATATGATAGTTGATGTAATGAAGGCATCTAGGTTGAAGGGTGTGCAAGTTGATGTTCTTCCAACAAAAGGATGTCAGGCAGGGAGCATTTCTGATACACACTTGCTTCTTGAATCTGCGTTGCCTAAGATGATGGCGGACATAAGCAATGTACCCAGTTTGGAGCGTGTTGTAGGACAAGGTCTCTTGACAGAGGTGTGTGAAGAAGATATCATTATGGATGAACCTGTTTCAGCTACAAAGGAGGTTGATGTACATACTACACCGAAGTCGGAAGATGCTGACGTACATTTTATAGGTTCAAAAGGTCGTGAAGCAGAGATGATCGCGAATACACACAGTCAGCATGAATCAACTTCACGCACCACCAGGGCTGATGAAGACGTATTATCCAGGTTGGAAGGTCTCAAAGAACAACTTTTGCCTTCAGAAGAGTGTGAAGGAATGACCAAAGATGTGAACGTCCACTACTTTCCAGATGGGCGAAGTCTGGGTGAATCTGGATCAAATGTGAGGACTGACGCAAACAAGGAACCCACGTCGCAAGGGGACGGAGTACAGACTCTTCCATCAGTGTTTGCAGCTTTAGATTTTTTGCAATACTTTTTGATACAGGGCGGGAAAAGACCAGATACTTGTTTAGATAGCGCACACATTTTATTGGATTGTAACGGAGAAGTTGCGAAGTTTCAAGTCCCCGCATCCACCTCGGATGTGAAGACTAAAACCGCAATAGAAGGAAGTAAGCTGCTTGCTTCTCTCTGTCTCAAGGCGGAGCAGACGGACTACTTACGCAAATGTATACACCTGATACTTCGATTTTGTGACAAGGATAGCACGTGGCTTCTGGCTGCCATTTCTTCCTTTGTGTCAGTTTGCGGAAAGCAACTTCTTTCTGTGGATGAAGATGATATAGCCGGCCAGGCTGTTCTGGTCGTGATTTCAGAGTTACTCAATGACGCCGAAGCTTCGGAGGCAACAGGAACAGATGCCCACTCGGAGAACGTGGATCATGTTATGGAGAATAGACACGACAAGACATCGACCTCTTGTATAGGATTAGAAGAGAATTTTAGCAGCCATTCGTCCAATTTGCACGTCCTGCGTGAGACTTTAGGTGAATGCAAATATGACCTCAACTTTGAGGTGTTTTTGCCGAAAATTTTGCAGAAGTTCGTAGATGTAGTAATGCCTAACTTTATTAGGACTCCCTCAGATCATGAGCACTACTGTGCAGAAAGACTTTGCATAGGGCATCTTGATAAGAGCGATAGATCACTCACAGCTTCCAGCGCTACGAGCAATAGTACTGTGCCAACTGGTCCTAGCGAAGAAGCATCTATTCCATTGTGTGACGACAAGAACGGGTTATGCTGGCATTGTAGCTACTCAGATAGGTACAACTACGGGCCACACTTTGTGAAGAGAAAGGATCCGGAGATCAGGAGTGGGCACCCTCGCACCTCGTGGGAGCAAAAGTTTCACGAGATCACTCACGCCTTGGAATTGATCGCCTTCCATCTGGTATGCACGCCTTATTGGGGCAGTTGTCTTTGTTCCTTGAAACTTTCGTGTTTGGACGATGTGCTTGTTCCTGACGCCCACGCTGGAGGTTTTAGTGTTTATTTTCTGGCTTTAAATGGGCGCGGAAGAGTTTTAAAACCATCACCTAAATACTGAATGGGTCATTTTCTATGCTGCGTAGACTGTTCCCTGAAATTTGGTTGTAATTCGTGACCTTAGAAAATTGTTCTGGAGCAAGCGAAGACTAACGCTGTTCCAATGTATGTGCCGACCTGATATATTAGGGATGGGAGTGGACTTACAACGAGTTGATCGTGGAAAATCTCTGGAGACTTGTGCAACCTGGAGCTGATGAAGTAACGGTGGCATTGGTTGCGAAATCGCTTGGCATTTTTGGGCGGTAAGGACTATATTCTCACTCAGCATGAAGGTTATATTGAAGAACGAATGATCGTATCGCGGGGGTTACAAACTGTCAGGGGACGTTTCTCCCTGGGTTTTTGTTTTCTGGAAAAATTGTTCTGTAAACTGGTCAGAGTTTGAGTAATGTAGTTCTTGTTACACAATGTACACGAGTTTGCTGGCCGGATTTCGATGTCTGTACTGCTGCCCCGTGTTTTGAAACCTGTTGAGTACACAAGCCAGGTTGCTTGGACGGGTTATACAGTACCTAAAGGGATATGTCTTAATTAAGTCCTCTACAAAGAGGATGCAGTAGCGGACTACTTCCGTTCATTGGTGGTCATCGTCCGATTGGTAGCTTTTTTGCCTCGGACTCAGGTCAATTGTCTCGGTGTCTCTGTTCCGTTGTTATTGGTTTCGTTGGTGTAGAGAACTCCGATTGTTTTCCTGTCGATTACAGGATGTTACTGTTCCTGCGTTAGAACATCTGTTAACCAAGGCAAAGTTGTTTGTTACCAACTTCTTTAGGTTTAAGTTGCTGTCTTGTCCTCAAGACTCATGTATTGTCGAAAATTCCTGGTTTCATTTCCTGCAATGAAATTTTTTTTCATGGAGTTGCATGACCGACAATTTTTCGAATTTGGGTCATCTATGTTCTCATGATTTGCGCTTGAATATGCTGGTTGATGTTCATCGCACACTTGTATATCCTCATCTCTATTTCTGCCACTCTGTTTAAAGATTGTGTCAGTTAGATCTGTTTGTATAGGAAATTTCTTTCGTTTTAGCTTACCAAGCAGCTAGCGAGGGTGGTACTGGACATATTGTGTCTGATTGTTGCATATTTGTTCTGATACTTCTTTCACTTCCTTGTGGTTAGCATATCAGTGAGGCCTCTCGATGTTGGTCCTTTTACTCACATCATTGTGTTCTCTCGTGTTTGCTACAGATTAGGAATCGAGATGGACGGCACAGAGCTTCAGGGTGTGGAAGCATTGCGACAGATTTTGAACGCTATTTTAAGATCCGAGAACTATGCCGCTGGAGTTAACGATGGGACCCAAACTTTCCCATATTCCGCACAAGTGGCCGCTGCAGAAGCTTTGTTAGATCTATCCAGCGACATTAAGAGAGATCCACAAAATACTGTAGCAACAGAAAGAGGGCCTCCTGTTTTATATACCAAGATTGCTGAGTAATTTTTTTCAATTCTTCGGACTATGTGAATTTGAATGGAAATATTGGTGATCGCAAGATGCGGAGTTTCTCACCCTTTCTTAGGGAAGCTATTCAGGTGTGTATTGTTAGACATTCCTTTGTGTCAGAGATATGTCAAATTCATTTCTTGACACAGAAGTAGTTTTGGAGCTTGAAGGTCGAATGCACCTTTGTTTACCTGGATGCCCTAGATCTTTACACGGTATATCGTCGAACGCGAATTCGTTGCCATTTGTTCTAACTGACTCGTTTGAGGTCAATTTTCGACCTCATTTGAAAAGTTGATATGTTTCTTGAATCATGTACAGATCATCCAGTACGAAAGATTGCCGATACATGTACCGAATGTCCTACGTATGATGCATGGGCGCTTCGGGTCCCGGTTCATGTTGAAAAAAAGGGTTAAATGTGTGGCTTGATGCGATTGGGTGAAGAAGCGGAGAGTATCGGTTTTCTTTGGTATTACCACCCCCTTCTCTACTTCTTGTGAAAGCTACAACATGCTCTCGTCTTCTACTCACAGGCTATTTAAAACCGTGAATTCTTAATCAATACAGGATACTTACTAACACTGGAGGATGCTAATGTGCTAATTACGAGTTACGCGTTACAACAACACTTCAAATTCAAGTCTACAACCAACAATACAAGTCTCTAGGTAAGTGTACGCATATGAAGAATCTACAGGTACTTCAATAAAATCCTCCTTTACCATCCTTCCTTGCCTGACCATTCTGGCCCTTGGCCCTAAAGCGAACATCGTTTCAATGTTCGGACAGCTCTGGAACACGAAAGTCTCTATCATTGTATGGAAGAGCGCTCTTCTGCATGCATTCCTGTAGATTGCAGCTTTCACCATTGCCACTCAAACTCGAAGGCTTGCAGGGTGGCGTCGGCAAGCAAGTCCGTCCGGCAGGTCCTTGAAGTCATCCTCGTCTAACGACCTGCAGCCACAGAAGAGCGCGTAGAAACCTCGAATCGTAATTCAGTGCGCAGAGCCGGTGTCCTATGCCCTTCAAGTCTCAGTTCTCAAATCCGACAGAGCTTGCCAAGGATTGCGAACCTGAGCCTCATTGGCCCTTACGAGCGGCGGCACGACGGCTTCCCTTCCTTAGATTCGTCCTTCGCCGACAAGTCGAAGCTTGTCGGCGACCTCGGCCTCGGAGCCCCGACAACCCCCTGACGACGGCTTCGCTTCGCCTACCGCTCCGCCGGGACTCAAGAGCCGGTTCAGTCCTATCGAACTATTCGGACCGGACAGGCCATGCATCGTAATGTCGTCCTATTGCCGGGACAGTGGATCTCCTCCAGATCCTGCAATGCCAGTTGGCAATTGGCGGCCACCCCAGCAATGAGCTCGGCCTCCAGCTTTGCCCACTTGCGACAAATCCTCCTAGTCAGCAGCTGACGTCATTCCGCGCGCCGGGAGCGACTCCCGTTCGCTTGCGGTGAACCGGCCCAAGCTCCCGCACGTGTGATTACAGTCGAATACTTTTTTTGTCTTCTTTCGCCGCGGGCGGCCCGACCACTCGGTTGCCTCCGGCCACCGAGACTCTCGGTCCGGGACCCCTCCCGCCGGTGTTCTGAGCAGCTCTCCGGATCTCGGACCTCGTCTCCTTCTACTGTACTTTGTCTTCCGCGGAAGACAAAGTCCGTGTCCCAGTTGCATGATTACAGTAGACTGCTCCGAGGTTTTTGGAAAATGATCTGCCAGCTGTTGCGGTCCACGGAGGAGGGAAGAATTGCAGATGGCGGAGATGAATGGAAGGAAGGCAACAGGGAAGACGTGACTTTTGATCGAAGGATCAGCCGTCAGTAGATCGTGCTTGCGGGCATTCAGGTCCTCCATGGACGCTGGACTGAGGATATGACGTAGAAACGTTTAGTTTTCATGAACGAGTCTCGACCAATTGGGGTGTATTTATGTCGATGATGTCAGTACTCGACGACTGCGTGTTTTCATTGTAGGTTGAAGGGAGGACTTTGCTCAGGCTGCTCGTATCCTACGTCGATCAAGCTACAGCATGCACGTTTAATTCAGTTGACGAGTTTAAGCTGAACGTCCGTGGGTCTGAGCCGACGGTACCACGGTTACCTTGAAATCTCTGTTCGAAAGATGACTCGTTGTCGAGTAACATCTCTACTGTCGACTGCATGGTTCGATGGTCAGCACAGTTACTGAGTCGGACGTGCGAGATGTTCAAGGTTGATTAGGCACACGACTGTGAACGTAAACGGCAAACACGAAAGTATTTGGTGTGACGAATATCCAAAACAAAAGTTCCACATTGCCGAATTTTACAAATCGGATATAATCAATTCTGGTTATAATAGTCACTCGCCTAAATTAATTTAGTCTACTCACAAAAATTAATTTAGTTTTTCCAAAACGCTAAGTTAGTTTCCCTTAAAAAGTTAATTTAGGCTTGATTAGTCTACTTAAAAGTTAATTTATGTTATTTGAATTTCTAAAAATTTAGTTTAGACTAATTTAGCCTTCGAAGATTTTTTCCCCTAAAAAATTTAGGATTTATTTTTTTACATTAATTAAAAAATGATAATTAAAAAAATCCGTAAATTTTGCATAGGTGTTACTTCCCCATTGGTTGCAACATTGTAGGTACCAAATCACATCCATCTTAATTTAGACGATTAATCAATGGAAAGTTTAGGTAATTTAGGTCGCCTAATACACATATGACTGGATATGATCGTTATGATTTATGAATGTACATATTGATAGAGATAATGAAAATTTTCAAAATTCTAATAAGCATCTAAAAGTAATTTCCGTGTCAAATTACTTGATAATCGTATGGGCATATTCATAAATGTCAGATCTGTTTCTGCTATTGACAAAAATTCATAATTTTTGCTGTGTAACATGTATATGATTATTAATAGATTGTAAAACATATTGTATTTCAATTCATAGATGAATCCTTTCATGTTGAAGAGAAATAGTCACAAAATTTTGTATGTGTTTACTACGTGTGAATATTTAGTTTGCAATTCTTTCAGGTTTGTATGAATTTTACTTTATATTAGAAGTTTGAAACCTTAGTCTTTTTAAAGAAGTTAAACTGAAAATTGAGAATTGGATTGGCAAAAGAGCTGGAATTTCTTCAATCAAACAACTATGAGAAAATATAAATACTTACAAAGAATATAACTTGTTTTATTAGTCTAAGAAAATAATTTATTATCTTCATACAGTATATATTTCATAGCAAAATGTTGTTGTTGAATCATAACTTCAAATCTTATAAGAGCTAACAATGAATATTTTGTGCATATCTATCATAACATTTTTGGAAAACTATTGTATTTTTAATTTAACTTTCTTCTAACATTTAATGACATAAGATGTTTGATTTAAGATACAAACCTCTTATGGATTACAATCATTACTTTTTAGACTTAATACATATACTAAAGCACTCAAAATTCAAAAATAGATCTAAACTAAATCTTACTTACTTCCATAAGATATTTTTTTTAAAATCCAAATGATACAAAGATTCACAAGCTATGAATGATGGACGAGTCAAAGTCATTGGAAGCCGATTTAGATGAGTTCTTGAAGATGACAATTAAGCTCGCAAATTCTGCCGACAAGGAAGAGCTTCACAACAAGAATAAGGCAATAATAGTTCTCAATTTTCTTCTAGAGTCATATAGGGAGGTGAAATCGTCAATCAAGTACGAGAGGTTATAAATCACCCTAGATGAAGTGAAATCCGCCCTCAAATCCAAAGACTTGGAAATCAGAGCAGATAAAAAGAACTTCGGTAATGGAAAATATCACTCAACTCGTGGTAAACAACATCGCAAGAACATCGATGTAAGCAACTCGAAGCTCAAAAACCACGGCAAAGCATCTACAAAGATCAACAACTGGATTCCCAACCTCAACGCATGCAAGAAGTGCTTCTATTGCAACAAGATGGATCACATCAAAAAGTATTATCAATAACAAAGGGAATAAGAATGATTATTATTATTAAGAATAACAAAGGGAATCAAGCTAGCACATCATAAAGTCATCAAGATTCAGCAAACTTTGATGATGGATACAATGACGGCAAAATTTTCATGGGGTCAAGAAATCTCAAGGCTTCGGATTGAGTTTTTGACTCTTGTTGCATCTATCATATGATATACAACAAGCATTGGCTATTGTACTACCAATGACTCGATGAAGGAAATGTAATAATAGGGTTTTTGTGAACAATGAATTTAGTTTGACATTGCTTTTGCAATGAACAAAGTTAACATGATATTTCAAATATAATGAAATATATTGAGAAGTGTTTTACTAGTATAATGTTTAATTCTAATCTTTATTTTGATACAAAATTGCACAATGTTAAATTATTTGTCTATGTAGATTGCAATTAAGATTTACATCTGAATGAAATTTTTTTTTACAACTTCTTATTTATTTTTTATTAGAAAATGAATATTAACAATACATCATGAAGTAGTTATGCAATAATAATTAATAAGTTAGGGCTTACAAAAGCAACAAAGTATACTATTTGATTTAACAAGCTCATAACAAAAATATAATCAACTAGTTGAATTATGTATCTTTTTGATGATAGTTGAAATCATTTAATCTATATGAATGAAATGATGATTTTGAAAAATAAAACACATCAACATCAGTTATAATCAATAATTTTAGAAATTGAAATAATTGAGATAATGAATATTTATTCATGTTGATTTTCTTACAATAAATTTCATTTCAATAACTTTTCAAAAATTTTTGCATATTTTCATCTATAATAATTATATAATTTTTTACAAATTATTTTTCTCTACAATATTTTTAATACAATTAATTTTAAAATACTTTAAATTAAAAAGATGCAACAACTTTAACATCGCAAAATCTATGTTAAAGTTGTTTTCAAATATTTTTGTAGAAGACACCTATTGATTACTTAAGTTGAAAATATGAAAACATAAGTCAAGTAGAGGATTGATAAAAATTTGATTTTGATCTTG